ATATATATATATATATATAAAAATTCTACCTTGAGTTTGGTTGACAATGTCAGTTCTCGGCAATTATTAGCAAATGCTGAAATCGGCTACAAAACAATGAACGTTTAGGCGTTAATTATGAAGATTTAGACAATCAATATAATATTTCTCAAATTAATACTACACGTAAATCTTTTTCAATAGTTGAACCTTTTGAGTTATCTGATAAATATAAAAAGTGGATAAGCACTTGTATAAAATCAAAAAGTAAACCTAGTTGGATAAAAGAGGCCGATTTTGATATTGAAAAGACAAATGTATTTCCTGATCCCGATTATTCTATGTATCAAAATATGTCCATTGTTCGATCCGTTTGTCCATTGTACCCACTTCACGTTGCCCCGGGTCTTGGACATATGATCCACGACCGCGCTCGGTCACTCTTAATGTTGGTGACACTGTTGCGCCCGCCGCCCTGGTCCGGGTAATGATGCGGACGCCGCCGCCAACGGCTCTTTTGCTCGTCCGTTCTGCTCCGTCGTCCGTTATTCACGTGCTCTCGTCTTTTCTGCAAATCGCATAATTTGTTGTGCTTCCAATATTAATAATCGCATAATTTGTTGTGCTCCCAATATTTGGTGATTACATGCTCCAATCTCACCGTTCGCTCGTGCTCAGCCATTTAATCTTGTATACGTGTACGTGATCCGTATTCGCGTGTACTGCAGTTCGGCGCTCTCCGACATCCACGTGGTCCATTCCATCCCCGGAAGTTTTCTACACCTCCAGAAGGAAAAGCAGATTAGCTTCCGTTGGTTCAAGATCACCATCGAGGTCCAGTTCTTCAGAGTGGTGCTCCCCATTTCCCCCCCCCATATACATAAACATAGACATATTGTTAATGGGGCTCTCCTTATATTATTTGTTGTAATATATATATTCCGTATAATTTTATTATTTGTTCACTTAATTAATTACTTCGTAAGCTCCCCCCATCACTTCCAAGGTCCCGGAGGACCGTGTGATCAGTGACAACCTCGATCGGTGTTAGAGAGGCTCACTGACGCAACATCCATAATCGATATTTTCGAAAAGTTTATTGATGATAAAATAATACATTTTGTAGTAGAAACCAAAAATTATGCATTATTTTTAAATTGTTCCGATCCCAATATTACTTCCAACGAAATTCGTTATTTTTTGGCAATTTTATTTGTAAGTGGCTATAACGATTTACCGTCTAAACATCATTATTGGGATAATGGTGATGACATGAGAAATATTGCTGTATCCCAATCAATGCGTAGGGACAGATTTTTACAAATTTGTCGTTTTTTTCACTGTACTAATAACACTGCAATTAACCTGAATGACAAAGGTTGGAAAATTCGTCCTTTCATAGAAATGAAGAAAAAAAGATGTATCGAAAATTTTGTACCAGAAGAGCATTTGGCATACCACGAAAGTATGGTGAAATATTTTGGACGCCATAGCTGTAAGCAATTCATCAGAGGAAAACCGATTCGATTTGGGTATAAAATATAGTGTCTGAACTCAAAGGATGGTTATTTAGTGAATTTTGATCTTTATCAGGGAAAAAATATCAAATCGAACTCCGACTATGAAAAATTATTTGGTAAGGCTGCTAGTCCACTATTAGTATTATTAGATGAAATTTCAGATGATAAAAGATAATTAAAATATAATATTTACATGGACAATCTATTTTCAAGTCCTGCATTGTTTTCATTTTTAAGATTTCATGGATATAGCGCCATCGGTACAATTCGTGAATATAGGTTTCCAAAAAATTGCCCGTTAACAAACAAAACAATATTTAAAAAAAAAAGTCGTGGATATTTTGAGACTGCTGTGGAAAAGATAGATGGTCTATTGTATCTACGTTGGATGGACAATGCTGTTGTTACAATGATTTCATCATCATGTGGTTCTCAAAATGTTGGCCAAGTAAAACGATTTTTACAAAAAGAAAAGCGAAATGTATTAGTTCCAAGGCCAAGGCTAATTGCTAAATACAATATGTATATGGGTGGTACGGATCAAATGGACCAAAATATCGCGTATTACCGTATTGGTATTAGAGGGAAAAAATAGTATTGGCCTTTGATAACGTGGATATTCGATGTAGCACTCCAAAATAGTTGGATTCTATTAAACAAAACAAGGAGAACAAAAATTAATCAACTTGATTTCAAAAGAGAAATCATAAATGTTTATCTACGAAGGTATCAAACTATGCCTAAAGCAATCGGAAGACCATCGACATCAACATTTTCAACAGACTGTCGAGTTTCAGACTCAATTAGATTTGATAAAATAGATCATATGGTAAAACAAACTGAAGACAAAAAAAAGAAAAGGTGTGCTGGAAAGAATTGTAAGTCAATTATGAGATCGATGTGCTCGAAATGCAATGTAGGATTATGTGTTGATTGTTTTATTCCATTTCATTCGCGTTAATTATAAAATAAGTGTATTATACAAGTTGTAATAATTTTTTTTTTTACTCTATATTTAATATTATATTACAATAGTATCTTATAAAAAAATTTAGCAAAAATAGTTAAATATATTATAGGTAGGTACTTATTTATGCTATAAAATGGAAAATAAATAAATGAAAAAATTATAAGATTAATCAACTATATTTTCATAAAATTAGTTGTTATAAGCTCCTAGCGTTGCCATATGACAACATCTTGTAAGTCAAAAACTAATAAAAATACGGTCAACTCGCGATATAACGAAATTCGATTTAACGAAAATCTCGATATAACGAATAAAACTACCGGTCCCTTGAAAATATCGCGGTATAACGAACAAATGTAATGTATTTTGGTCCCCTCGATATAGCGAAGCGTTTTTGATCAAAACCTCGCGATGTAACGAATTTTTATAAATTTGGAGCTTTCTATTACGAATTTTTAATTTTAATTAAGATAAGATACATGTCTCTGGTGTATAACTCAATGAAAAATATATAAAAATAAGTATGTTGCTATTACCACATAATAGATTACGAAGTTTTTCTGATGATTATCATGCAATAGTATACTCAAGTATAGTATCGCAATTAAAATAAGACTTATGTCGATTAGTGGTTCTACGCAAAATGTACGTAACATACGTACTATGTAACATATCGGTACCGTTTAAAGAAAATTACGAAGAAGAATCTTCTGAAGAACCCATCGTAACCTTGAAGGAAGCCAAATTAGGTCTTCGCGCCGTCTTAAGTTATTTACAGAGACATGATATTGACGACAGTGTGTTTTCTAGCATTTTAAATCTGGACAATACTATTGATTAGGTAAACTCAAGCAGTTGCAAACAATCAAAAATATCTGATTTTTTTAAAAAATAAATGCTCACATGTATAGCGATTTATTATATGTACATATTAAAAGCAATATTATTATTATAACATATTTTTATTAAAAATATTACATACATTTCATACATTTATATTGAAATTAAACAATGAATATCTACTTATATGACTCATTTATTTTATACATATGTATACGAATAATAAAATTTTGAATTTTTGTTTTAAATCTTGTTATAACGAATTCAATTGGTATATTCTCTTGATATAACGAATTTCGATGTAACGAACTTTCGATATAACGAATTTTTTTCTCGGTCCCTTGAAATTCGTTATATCGCGAGTTTACTGTAATTATTTTTATTTTTACAATTAAATTCGAGTTCTAATACATGCGTTTACAACAATATTTTGGTTAAAATTGTAAAAAAAAAAAAACTCCGGCGCTAATGGGCATGGCGCATGTACAATAATAAGTGTTGGGTAGTGGTGGGGGTAGACAGATGACGGGGTTAATGTACGTCACAACGATCATGTGGATGAGGGGGAAGGGGTAAATATACGTCACACAGGTCATTTTGCGTGTGGTGAAGGGGATCAGGCAAGTGCGGGGTAAATATACGTCACACCGGTCATTGATGATGATGGGGTGACGAAAAGTGCGGGGGATCAGAATCAGGTTTTAGAACATACCAAATCATACTACTTATATGTATAAGTTATAAAATTATATCCAGAGTGTAACAGAAATATAAGACAAATTAACATATTATTATGTATTACAGTTTACAATAATAGCTAATTTCGGCGCCGGTGGCCGCGATGTCGACACGTAGTCGACCGGGCGGCATTTTAACATACGGCACCATAATATGGACCCGGTATGTATCGATTTGATGCTTCTGATTGGCCGATTTTAATTTGCCGCCTAAAAGTTCACGATTAAGGTCCGCTCAAACCGAAGCGGTAGCGGCAGCGAAATTTAATGTCTATACGTTTTAATACGAGCGCACTCACTATCGCGAAATTAATACCGCGGCGAAAATGTTACCGCAAGATTGAGCGCGATATTTTTATTTTTCGCTGCAGACACTGTATTTTTCGCTTACCGCTACGATAATCAGCTGTAAATTCCCAACTATGAATTATCTTCATTTTATTTTTAATATATTAATATCTATAGAAAGGTTATCATTACATTGTATGATATATTTTGACTTTATATTCCAACACATATTTATTCATCGTAATCATACACTTTGCAGCTTACATCTCGCAGTTGAATCTAACGTCGTGGTGTTTGAATGTATATGAACGATTATCTTGTTTAAAATTTATTAAAAAAATTAATTAAATTTACTAAAAATAACCAATAAAGTTGAACAGTTAATAGCTATTGTTAAAGAATATCCCATCATATATAATATTATGACACTTCCAGAATTCAAGGATACGAGGAAAAAAGATTATATTTGGGATTACGAAATAAGTGTTAAAATGAACGGTGAAAGCGGTAAGTAAAAATATAATTAATCTATAAAAGTATTAGTCATTATAATAATAGTTATAAATATTAGTTATGATAAAAAAAAAAAATAATTAATGTTATTTACTATCAGTTTTTAAACATGTGCAATTAAAATTTAAAAATAAATTAGCAACCAGCTATTTTATCCAAACATAATAACATTTTACGGTACCTAGTTTATACTTGTCAATTATAATTGTCAAAAATAATAAATAAATTATAAGTAATAATTAATATAAATAATAATTATTTATTCATCATTAAAATACTTAACAAAACATTCTCGCACTCGAAAAGCTTCAATTGTATATCTTCTAGGATTATTTGCAATGTTATTCCGTAATAAAAACGGTTCTTCATCGGCTTCAAGCTCATTGTCGTATATATTACAATTTTGGACTCTCAAATAATTATGAGTATGCATGTTGCCATAATAACTTTTTTTACAGTTTGTTGCATTTCCATTGGCCTCTCAAATACGAGTACCCTCCATTTCTTCGATAAAATTCCAAATGCATTCTCTACTACTCTTCGTGCCCGGCATAATCTATAATTGTAAGTATCTTTTTTTCTATCATTTCGTGATTGTCGTTTACGAAATGGTTTCATTAGATAAGTTTTTAATGAAAACGTTTCATCGCCTATAATAACCATAGGCGATTTTTCAACTTTACCGGGCAAAGATATCCATAAGCAACCCATCGCCACACACTGAGCTACTATGAAACTACTGTGAAGTGACGATATATTTTCAGTCTACCTCTAGCCACCAATTATTTACCAACCTGCATCTAAGTTTCCTTATATTGAAAAGAACATTCACTGCCGCTTATGTTGCTGCTAAAGAGCTAGAACAGTCTGATTCTAAGTTTATAGCATTCTACCGCATGACGAAAGAATCATACCAACTCTGATCGACATTGTTTCTCCATCTATACGTCAGAGGGACAGTAATGGAATGTGTAAGTGCGGAAGAAAGGATTTTGATTACTTTGAGGTTAGTAGCTTTATTTATAATTTTAGCATTATATTTTTAAAAGAAATTTTAGCATGTTTAATAATAAAAAAAAATTTAACATTACATACAAGATAAAAACGTTACGTTGGTTTCATCTCTATTTCATTCTTGATGCGTACCTGGAGGTGGAATGGGATGGTTGGATGTGGCAGGTAGCAAAATATATAACACAAGATATTGAGTATGAAAGACGGTACTCGTCGATTTATTGTATTTGTATTAAAACACGAATCAAATGCTGAACACAAATAATGTCAAAGGTGAATGTAACACTGTGGTCAAGGGAAAGGCCAGTTCGGAGTAATGACAATGTTAACACGACGGTTAAATCCGCGTGGGAAAGAACTGACACTCCCGTCGGACCGGTTGCGGTATCGGCGGTCAAACGTTCCGAGCCGTTGATCGTGCGTCGCCGTCCGTCGTCGCTGGCGGTGATAGAAGTCGCCCGCAGTTTTCCGCGTAAAGGCGTTTGAATTAACGGAATATTACGCGGATCGCGTCATCTCTTCTTCTATAGCCAAGATCCCAACTGAGGGTAACTAACAACTGGATAACTATTAGATTCGCTTGTGGAATTACTCTGTCTCGATGTTCGTAGGCGTTTCCATTTGATGAAGCGTGATAGGAGACATAGGAGAAAATGAAGAGTTTGAAAATCGTAAGACAAATACTGTCGGAGGTGTCGCGGTCGTTTCAGTAATTTCACATGAGTGAAAATTTACGCCTGAATGTTTTGAGTTGTTGGTCGGTTAATGGCTAACCTGCGGACCAAACGTCAAGAAACGATTTATCGATTCGGTTTTTGGACTTATCTCCTTGTGTACTCAATCGTGCTGTTTTGCCTGGGAAAAATGAACTTTGCATCAACATCAGTGGCTTGAAATTCACGTTTAAAACCCGATTTCTTTTAGTCATATTAGAGGTATTTGAAGGTCTACTTGTGATTGAGAAAGTGTTGACTGCTGTTTATCGATCGATAGTGGTTGAAATGAATCTATCCGAGCCGATTCTGATATTTGTTGGAGACAAATGTGGTACTTCAGCTGAGAAGTCTGAGATGGCCTGCTGTTTTGTATGTCACCATAATTTGATCAGTTAGAATACATTGTTCGTTGACCGTGGCAAGTTCTCAGCAGTAGGCATATTGGTTTTCACAAGGAGGCAGAACCTACTGCTTCCATTAAATATGGTCTCTTTTTCTTGAGCCTGAACCACTGGGGAGCTTCAGTCCTGAACAAAACTGATCTCAAATTCTTCATCGTTCTTTACATCGGAGCTGAGAACAAAAATAAGAACTATAGAAATAAAAACAAAATTAAAAACTAAAACTATCAAAACTATGATTATAATTAGGGCTGTGAATTTAATGCACTATAAAACCTTAAAAATGCATTAAAACGTCAAAATAAAAGTTTCATAAATGAATTCATTGTTATATAATTCAAATTATGTACAAACAAAGCTACGTTTCACAACAACCAAAAATGCACTTTTCTACAATTCACAGCCACAATATTATAATAGTTGTAATAATAATAATAATAATAATTTAAACTCGCATAACTCTGGTACTTTATTAAATTTCTAAAAATAATAAATAATATAAAAAAATCGTTTCATTTCAGATATTTGGCAACTGGGTGTACATTTGTTTCACTTTCGTTCTACTTTGCTAGAGGTGAGAGCACCATTGGGTATGTCGTGTACGAGACTACTAAAATATTCTGGGATGTGCTCAGGGAATCTTATATGCCAATACCAACCAAACAAGAATGGAAGCAAATTGCTGAACGATTTTATTCTGTGTGGAATATTCCGAATTGCATAGGGGCAGTTGACGGCAAACATGTGCGCATCGAAAAGTTGCCGAACAGTGGTTCAACCAACTTCAACTACAAAGGTTACCATTCCATCGTATTAATGGCTTGTTGTGACGCGGACGGATTGTTTACAATGATTGAATGTGGATATGCAGGAAGGAACAGCGATGGAGGTATATTTCGTGCTTCAGCAATTAAATATTGGTTGACGCACAGTGGACTTGATATTCCGTCACCTAGTCGGCTTCCGAATGATATAAATGAGTCTCTTTGCCCTTTTTACTTGGTTGGAGATGAAGCGTTCCCATTATCCACTTATCTAATGAGACCATATTCAAAAAGAATTCTTGATAATACAAAAAGAATTTTCAATTATCGCTTAAGTCGTGGTCGAAAAACTATAGAGTGCGCGTTTGGAATGATGTGCGAGAAATTCCAGGTACTAAATAGTCCAATACGTTGCCGAGATGTAGAGAAAATTAATGGCATTATAAAAAGTGTTTGTGTTCTTCACAATTTCGTTAGAAAAAGAGAAGGTATACAATACCGGACTTCACAACATGACGAAAATGTCTCAGATGGTGTCGCAGTTTCACCTTTACAAAACGATAATATGCCAAATATCGAAATAAATATTCGATCTTCCGCAAATGATATAAGAAATTATTTAGCAAACTACTTTATTACCCCTCACGCTTCTCTTCCTTGGCAGTGGAAATATTGTATTTGATATTATATACCTAATAATATATTTTATTGATGATTTAAAATATTTTACATTACATTTACATACATGGAAAATATAGAAGTAAAAATAAATTGTTTTTCATTTGACATTTTATCTTTTCAATAAAGAATAAGTACAGTACAATAAAATAGTTCTTATGATTCGTACGTACCAAATATAAATAATTATAGAACGATGTGGTCAATTCACAAATGTTATTTTGAAATACGATTATCTTATATAGTGTATATTTATAATAGTACAAATAATAACGCAGTGGTTAATTTAGATAAAAATAAATACGAGTTCTCAGTACTATATTATATAGATGATAAAGCTGTCATAAATCTAATATTTGTTTTGTTGTATTTAAAGTTATTTAAGTATTTATTTATAGTTATTTAAGTTCAATATACAGTTTTTAAACAAATATGCAAATGCCTAAAGTTCCGAGCCTTGATTATAATTAATAATAACATAATATAATATACATAATTATATAACTATTGCCTAATTATCAATTATATTTTAACTTTTTTTACCTGACAAGTTCATTTCCTTTCCAACTTCCATCCAGCCCTTCTCCGCAACATCTTTACGGGAATATTGAGGCAAAGTGTAATTATAAAGTTCTGGCCTTTTTTCAACTTCACCCACAAACTTGATGTTAAACACGTGTTCAGCCATAGTTGTATAATTAAAAAATTATAAAAATATAAAAAAGAAAAACACTTGAAACCACTTGTAATATTCGGTAATATTCGGGAAACGCAGGCAACGCAGACGACGGGCGACCTTCCTTGCAAGTCGCGCGAGACTGGTAGAATACGCGTAGGATACGCGTCGCTTGGGAGTTGCGTCATTTGTGCCTTTTCGTTACTAAATATAGGAAGTGATTTACAAGATACTCGAGTATCCGTCGCGTCGCCTGGGAGTTTCCTGGTGTGAAGAAGGCCTTACGCAAAACCAGTTTACGACCAAATCGATTTTTTTATATGGTTGTAATTCAAAAACTAATGACATTTTCTCCAAATGTTTATGTCAGTGTTATCTATATACAGTTAAATTTTCAAAAAATTTTAACTTTTTTTGAGTCATTTATAGACCATAGAGATTTTCGATTTTTATGAGAATTTTTTTTTGTAGTGTCGATAAAAAAATTTTGAATAGCCAAAAAAAATAAAAATCGTTGGTCACAATTTTTTTTTTATAAGCGTATATAGTTCAAATTTTTATGAAATCTGTCAAAAACGGGAAAAATTGCAAGTAATTTTGAAGTTGAAAAATCATAAAATTTTTTGTGTTAATAACTAAGGATTAAAAATACAACACTAAGTTTTCCATAAGTTTTCCTTCAAGTATCTATAGAGAAAACTCGAAGCATCATTATAGGAAAAGTTTTAAGCGCGTTTGAATTTTAAATTTTTATGAAATAGCGTAACGATAACGATTTATCCCAAACGGTTTTAAATATTTGTTATTATTCAAAAAGTTTAAGTCGTAGATACTTGAAAATTTTACCAGTTATTTAGATTAGCATTTTCGAATTTTTATGAAATCCAACTACTCGTAAAATAACGATTTACTATCACATAATTTTAGATTTTTGCTATAGTTAAAAATTAATAGTCATAGAAACTTGATATATGTACCAGTTGTTTAAATTAGCATTTCCTGTACATGATTTAATTTGTGTGCATTCAGGTCATTAATAGGTACATAAACATTTTTCACCACGTAATTTAGAATATAGGTGATAGGTATATTTTATATATTTTATCCTAGGCTAACAAATCATCTCCGTTCAGATTCGTTTGTTATACCCTGAAAAATATTTAAATGTAATTTTTAAACTTTCGTATTGTTGTTATTTCATTTAATTTAGTGAAATATATCGTTTAATGTACAAGTTATATCCTTTTAATTAGTTTGATTATCAAAAATTGTATCCGACCATATTATATGTTGTCTAAATAGTACTTTCGTTACAGTTATATTGCCATTGCAATTACTCCTATAACATTTTCTAGTTCTTTTCTTTTTATTTATTTACATTTGGGAATATGACCTAAAAAGGTTGAGTTGTTAAATTCAAAAAATTATAATATTCATGTACGTCTAGTGAGAATTATAATAATTAGTAGGTAATCTACAAAAGTATATACAATATATTAACTTTGATTTTTAATATTAGGTAATTAAAATTATAAAAACATCACATTTGTAAGACGGAGACAATTAATTAAACTAATTACTAGGTATCCTCTAAAATATATCTTAACGCCCATGATACGATAATTATTATCCTTATTTAAAATAGGCACAGATAATATTCTTAGTTTTATGTTTGAAAATACATTGACCAATTTTCATATGTGACACCTCTTAGGATGGCGATTGCCGGTTATTCCGTCTTTGCATTATTTATATTATTAATTATTGTCGTGCTGTTGTGTTGTCGTGTTCTAAATTTAACTTTATCATGGATTACTTATTATGTTTATAACTGTAGATGGTTATTGGTTATAATTTCTTATTATTTGTGTTTTATTATTAATTGTTGTCACTTCAATATTTTCTTTCTCTGCGTAAACATGTCTGCCAAACAGCGTGTAAATGAAATAATCGAAATATTAATAAAAATTAATTTTTTGAGCCCGAATGGTTCAATTCCAGCATGGTCATCCGATCTGTATAAGGAAGCATCTAAAGAACTTAACAAGTAAATAAATGATATATTTAAATTGAATAATATCTAATTATTTTATTTAGATTTATTTTATATCATAATATTACAATACTATACGCAATAATTTTACAGAAATACAAATTTCAAACCAATAAGCGTAGATTATTTGTATACTATTATAAAAAATAATAGGTATGATATATTAAAATGTTTACGACAAAATGTTTTGGGCAAAGAGGAAATTACATTGGAACCTGCAGTTGTACACCCAAAAGCTTTTAAAGCCAATGAAGATTTTTACACAATGGTACCTCAATTACCAAGTATGTACTTACTTATTAATAAACCTATCTATTTATTTAATATTAATTCTTATTATATGTTTATTTATTCTGTACAAATAAATTTTTTCTAGTGCATTAATAGATAATATACTAATATATTTGCCATTTGGATTAATAATTTCTCGAAATTGTTATTAATAATATCAGGGTTCGGGACTTATAGCATTTTCATACTTTGTTACTTATTATAAAATATAGCAGTGTAAAATAAATTCATTTTTCAATACCATGATACAAAATCTAAAATTTGAATGGGTATATTTTTGCATATTTCATAGATTTTGCAAGGAAGTGTTCATTTTCCGTCTTTGTGTTTATTATGCATAGTTTAGACCATTTTCAAATTTCAACCGATCGAAAAATATACGATAACTATAATTATATTATATGATATTTTGTATCTTATATTTAGCATTATTATTATTATTTGTATTACACTTTAATACTATGTATAATGTATATCTCTTTTCTTAATTAATATTGTATTCAAAGGGCACCCCCCGTTAATTAATTAAATAAATGATATATTTATAAAACGTTCCATATAATTAAATGTATTTCTGTATGATTGTAATATACCGTACGCGCCGAACTTGACGGGCAGCGAAAAAAGGAATGATCAATGAATTTCATATATAAAAAAATTATCGGTCGAGGCACGCCGATAACGAAACATCACAATCTATAAATAATATAAAAAATATAATAATAATTGTCGTGCATCGGGCCGAAATAAATGAAATTACTACGTCAAGTTATTTAATAATTTCGATAATTTGTTCAGTGTATTCCCGTATATTTGTTTACGTATTTATTCGTGTACATTTTTTCCTAGTTTTATAAATTATGGTATATTATACTCAAAATGGGGAAAGTAAAACAAACAAGTATCTGAATTTTGATCAGAAATATTGACCTCTGATGGGCTTGTAATTTGTGTTATATTGCAAAGTTTGGGAGTTGAAGATTAATTTCGAAAATATATTATTTAACGTAAACCAACAGAATCGAACTGAAAAACACACTAAAAGTGACACGAAAAAATGATAAAGATCAAGTTCAAAGAAAATTTTAACCAATCAACTTCTCAATCAGATTTTAATAAGGCTTTATGCTAAGCGATGACGTACGTTTCCCCCCCCCCCCCCCCCCCCCCATTGAAACTTTTCTCAATTTTTTTTCACAAACATTTAGTATGGAATTTGTATGAATTTGTACGATTAAAATCTGAAATTGTACGGATTTATTTACAAAGAAATAACCAAAATAATGTGGGGGTGCTGTAGAAACATTTCTACAGCCCTCCTATATAAAAAAATCATTTTTCCCAAATTCGTGTTGCGCGAATATTTTGTACGGAATTTGTATCTATATTATACATATACTAGCTGACCCTGCACTTCGTTGCCCGTTAAAAACGCCAATATTGTAAAACATGATATCGATGATACACAAACCATCGCTACTGTATTTCGTTTTATTTTATTTTTTTTTAATTATTTTATATAATTGGTATAACAACCTGACTCATTTAATTTATTTTAATTTTATTATTTTCATATCTTTTTCCACACTCATTTACATATACCTATGCCTTTAACTTTTAATTCTTTATCGATTAACCAAATCTACTTTAAGCTTACTTAAGCGTTTTTCGCAGTTTAATAGAATATTTAAGGTATGTAAGAACCACGAGCCTGTACACTATATATAGGTATATTTTTAAATGTTATACAAATTTTCTCTTATATTTTTTTTTCTAGCAATTTAAATATACCTATCGAAAATATACAACAATACTAGACCTATTTTTTAAATTCAAATTTTGACAAAGATTGTCATTTAAACAAATAATAATGATGTTCAACTATTTTGCTGTAGTTCAAAAAATATTCATCAAAGAAACTTCATAAATTCCCCCAGTTATTAATGTATTGATTTTTATAATAAAGTTTCTTCTTGTCATCAAC